GCCCCCCTGCACCGCTCCATTCCTGCTGCACCGCGCCGAAGCGGGCAGCGCGGTGCTGGGCGCGCGAGCGGGCTGAGGCGACCCCCAGTGCGGGGGGGCGGGGGGCACCGCTGCCCCTCCGCCGGCCTCCCAGGACCCCGTCGGCGGGGGACGGGCAGCCCCACGGGCCCCGCACGTCTCCGGGCCGCGTTCTGCAGGGGAGGGGGCGCTAATGGGGCTAAGAGACCCCCCCCAAAATCCCACCGGGGGGGAGGGGGGCGGAGTGGTCCCCCCAGTGGCGCCCTGCTGCAGAGGGGCCCTGGTGGGAGGAAGGAGCTGGTGGGGGAAAGCAGCGGGGGGGGGGGGGGGGGGGGGGGGGGGGGGGGGGGTGTCTGTGTCCGTGTGTCCCCCCGTGGGCTGGGGCGGGGGTGTCGGGGGCAGCGCCGCAGGACGCGGGCACACGGCGGCCGGGGACGTGGGCAGCCGCGCACGTGCGCGGGCCCCAGCGCACATGGACACGTGGGATGCAGCCCACGCGTGAGCAGCCGCACGCGTGTGCAACTACACGCGTGTGCGACCGCGCGCGTGCCCATGCACACACCCCCTCCCGCAGCGCCTCCGTGGCCGCGCGCGCACCGTGCCCTGCCTCCTCCCCTCCTCCTCCTCCTCCTCTTCTTGCCCTGTCCTCTTCCTCCTCCCCTTCCTCCTCCCCCCCTCCTGCTCCCCCGGGCTCCGCTGCTCCGCCATTTCCCTCGCGCAGCCCCCCGCAGCCCTTGTGCGCGGGATGGGATGGGGCGGGATGGGAAGGCGCCCCGGCAGCGGGACGCACAGTGGGAACCCACTGGAGCAGTTCAGGGCAGCTGCCCCCCAGCCCCATGCGGGAGCCCTTGGGGCTCCCTCTGGCCTCATCCCCCCGGGCTCCCCACAGGGGGCTGGGGCATCTGTGTGAGGAGCTGCCTCGGGCCTCAGCCACATCCGCAGCTGCACCTCCGCCTACACGTCAGCAAAGCGGCTCCCTGCAACATACACACATGTATATGTACACACGTATATGCCCACTGTGCGTGTGTGCACATACACTCACATCCGTCTCTTTGCTCTTTCTCTGAGAGATACCACATCCAGACGCACACGATATATATTTGTGTATATATACTTGCAGACAGACATATATATGCACATATACGTGTATGTCCCTGTCTTTGTGAGGGACACTGTTCTGACACTCCTGGGCTGGAAGTGGCACACAGCACTGTGCATGGAGCTGCAGCGCTGCAAGCTGAAACACCTATAGCTAAAGCAAATGTTATATCGGAGGAGGGAGCTGCACGGGGCTTTGGAGCATGTCCAAGGAAGGGCAGCGATGCTGGAGCGGGGCTGGAGCACAGAGCTTGTGGCGGCACCGTCCCTGGCTCAAGAAACGTGTAAAGGGGCAGCTGGGGACACGGTTTAGCAGGCAGGGTGCTGAGGGGCTTGCGGATGGACTCGACGACCCTGAGGGTCTTTCCCAACCATAACGGTTCTGTAACAGGATGTTCTATATGATAGCCACGCAGCTTTAGGCGCCTGAATCCACACATCCCCTAGGCTGCCTTTGCAAACACAGAGCCGCCTGTTGCAACGATCCCTCCGTGGGCCAGGGACACCTGCAGAGGAAGAGGATGGCCCAGACCGCAACCACGGAGCCGCGTGAGCGCCCCGCGCGCGGCCGCAGAGCGGCGACGAAAGGAGAGCGCCGCGTAAATGTTTACGGCGTGTATGGAGCCTGCGTGCGTGCATGCCATCGCCTCTCAAAATGTAAATATATAGACAGCGACAAATGACAAAAAAATAGACGCACTTATACACAAAAGTATGTTAAATACATTTATATTATTTGCTTTTTATATTATTTATATTATTTATGCAAATAAAACAATAAATATAGAAATTAAGTAAATTAAATAGCATTCTCTGTATGTGTTTGTGAGACAGACTTCTCACAAACATTTATAACTATATGAATAAAGTGTATGTGGGTGTGAGTGTATGCAGGTGAGTGTATGCATAGTCACTAGCTCAAACACATATAGCCCATCGTCCCTCAAGAGATACCATTCAGAAACATAGAAAATATAAATACACACACAGAGCATCCCCCCGACACACACACCCTGTCAAGAGATACTGATCTCACACACACACAGGCTATATATATTTAACAAACATACACAAACATGCGCACAATTATTTATTCTTCTATGTGAGCTACTATTCCTAGACATTAAAAAAAAAGAAGATGGGAAGTGTCCGGATAAGGCTGTAAGTCTCATCAGGGTAATCACGAGGGTAAAACCGGTCCTTAAATACACACAGAGGAGAAAATGTGTGTAGCTATATACACACATATATGATTCCTTTGTATGTGCAGCTACATATATAATATATATGAGCAATGCCAAACACAGATATGTACATACATATATATATATATATATATATATATATATACATATATATATATACATATATACACGAGATATGATTCAGATACAAATGACATATGTTCATACATACACAAATGCACACATTGAGTGTTATAAGTGAGCTATACAAAGAGATGACTGATGAAATAAGCCCTACAGGAGCGTGCTCTCCCTAGGGTTCTCTGTCACTCTCCCTGTATGTTTTTTAATATATTTGTGTTTTAATATATATATAATTAAATTTAATATATAGTGTGTTGGGGGAGAAGGAAAAGTAAATACCCCCCCGACATGCTCTTAGAACTTGTTAATAAAAGGTATGGGAGACGTGATGGGATTGCTGTCGTCCTCACACACCAGTGCAAACACGGGCGGTGCTCCCTGCATGTGCAGCTGTGCCTGTGCTGGACTTTATATGGAGAGCCTGATAAGAAAGGCACACGTTAAGGATATAAAAAAAAATACACAAAAGATATGTGGGCTGCATGAAAATGTGATTAGCTATAAATATCTCTAGCTCTTTCTTATGCACTCACATACACATGCCATATAACCATGGGGATAGAAGGCGTATATTTGTGTATGGATCCTTTCTCTGAGTCTGTGTGTGCATACAGTGATGAGATCTCTCTCTCTCTCACACACACGCGTGCGCGCGGATACCAAGACATATTAATGTGTGTTTATATAGAAACATCTCAGAAGGAGAGAGGGAAAAATAATAGAAAAAAATCCACATACGCAATGCATACATACATACATATATATATATATATATGTATGTATCTATATATGTGTGTGTGTGTGTGTGTGTGTGTGTATATATATATGTTTTTTTCTTCATGTGCTACAGATACCTACAGCGAGTGAAGATGATGGGAAATGTATAACACACACAAATATATATGTATACATATACATAATGAGGGAATGCTCTATGTGTGGGTACACACATAAAATTATATAAAGAGAGCAAAAGAATGATAGTAAATGTACACATATAGGTATATAAAACTACAATTATGTGTAAATAGGTCATGCATACCCATATGTATGCATATAGATATACATTTGTTTATATATACACATACACACATGCATGTGCTTATCTCTACATAGACGTTTGTGCATGTACACACACACACACACACACACACACAATAACCATGGGGATAGCAGCGTGTGTCTATCTGTGTTGTGTATATGTGGATGTGGATGTGTGTGTGTGTGTGTATATATATATATATATATATATATGTGTGTGTGTGTGTGTGTGTGTGTGTGTATGTATATGTACTCTCTGTATGTATACAGAGAACAAAGAGAGTTCTCACTCCTGCACGCTCACACACAATTTCCTCATAATTTTAATTTATTTATTTATATCTGTGCATATGTGTGCAAATGTTTGTTCTATGAACATTTCAGAGATAGGAAAAAATATTATAAAATACACACTACACTATAAATAGTTAAATAAAACTGTATATGAGTGGCTATCTGTATGATTTCTGTATTATGTATTCAGACAGAGAGAAAATGATGGAACTGAACATTCGCATACACATCTGTATTCGCATTCATCTATGTTTGTATCTATAAAATAGCTCTGTGTGTGCATGCACTATTGTGGTCTATATACAGTACACAGAAGTAAATCTGACAGTAAATATTAAAATATATCTGGGAGTATCTGTGTATGATAATTATATATCTGTAGGCACGTAAATATATACACTCCACACATAAATATAATAGTATATTAAAATATAACTGTGAGGTTGGCTGTGTATAGTCCCTTCCTCTTTATTTAAAACACACCCACAAGGATAAATAGGATAAATAAATGTGGGCATGCCTGTGTGTACGAGCATTCTCTCTAAATATGCATATACACGTAAGGGAGCAGGTGATAAAATCCACACAGATGTAAGTCATTATAATTATGCAAATAAATTGTATGTGGAGCGTGTGATGGCTCTATGTATGTGTTTATATATATGTATACACAGGGAGAGAGGATAGTGGAGGCTAAGGGAGCCAATGTGGGTGCCGTTGTGCTTCCCGCCTCGTGTGGGGTGTGTGTCTTTGCATGCACCTATGCGCAGGGCGCAGGTTGTGACCCCCGCGTTGTGTCCCCCATCCGCGCTCGGGGACGAGTCCTTCCAAGGGAACTCGTTCCACAAGCAGCTTCCGCAGATCGCGGCCGCCCGGCCCCGCGCACCCCAGGGCAGCAGTTACCGCTGCAGGTTTCTCTGGGGCGGGAGAGGCAGCTCCTCCCAAGGGCTCCCTGGGCACCGGGAAGGCAGGGGAGGCTTCCCTGCTGGATGCGCCCCCTTCTCCTCCACTCCGCTACCCTTGCTGCGGAAGGTGAACGGGAGGGCACAGGGGATTGGAAGAGCGGAAAGAAAGAAACCATTTTCCTTCAGCAGTTTGAATGAAAATCAAATTCATTTGAAAGCAAATTTAAAATAAACCCGGTCTCGCCACAAGCACCCCGTCGTGGCCGGGCCCGCGCCGCTCGCCCTGCCCTCCCGCGCGGCCGCCTCGCTCCTCGGCCTCCCGCTGCAGTCCAGCCAGGACCTGGGCAATCCACCAGTCCTCTGCCTCCCTCGCGCCGGCTCCAGACGTCCCGGCCTCTCCCAGGGCCCCGTCCTCCTCTGCGGGTTGTCCAGCAACAACAAGTGAGCACCGCGCACGTCTTCGCGTCTGGGACTCACCGGGCAAAGCGGTGGGCGCAGGGTGGGAGCCGCGAGGCGCTCGGGGTGCTTGCAGCGGACGGGGGGTGCCCCTCGCACACTGTGCCCTGCAGGGACGCGGGGTCCGGCCAGCAGCTCCAGTCCAGGCTTGCTCCAACCACGCGGGGACACCGGCCCGGCTCGCGCAGAGCGGCCAGGACAGCGCGCGAGGCAACCCCGCCGCCTGCAACGTGCACTGCCGCGCTCCCAACGTGCTTGTAAGAGCACACACCACCTCCAGCGTGCCCTCGGGTGCATATTCCCACCTCCACAACCTTGGTGGGTTTATTTTTTGTAGGTGGTACAATTGCAATCCCCCCCCACCCCTTTAGCATGGGCAGCATCCTGCAGCGAGGAGCCCTGCAGCTCGAGCGCGGGCATCGCTGCCCTCTCGCTTTGCGGAGCTGCCGGCCTCCTTTGACGCCCGTGGCTCGTGTGCTGGGCAAGGCGTGCAGCCTCCAGGCCCTGCCCGCTCCTCCGTGCTCCTGCCTGCGTCTCAGCTCCAGGAACTGAGGCTCAGGCAGCAGAAGGTACCTGCAGCTTTATCACTTCCCCAATACACCCCTTTGTATCTGTCACTCCCCTTTCCCCTTGGCTTTCTCCCATCTACACTCTCAGCCATGGAAATTAAGTTCAGACCCACGCTTTCAACGGAGACAAGCAGCTCTGAGCCTTTCGGAAGGATGCAGACGGGAAACCACCAGTCCCACCAGGTCATGTTGCTATCGCAGGGCAGTTGTTCGAAATGGATTTGAACAGGAAAAACCAAGGGGGGTAGGTGACAGGATGATGCTGCACGAGAGCACACAGAGCACACAGGCGCGTGAGAACCGCTTCAAAGAACCAGCCTCGTTCCTCCAAGCCTTGCCTTGCAGAGCAAGCAGAGGTGACAGAGCAAAGAGCGATAGGCAGCATGTAGGAATTAAAGATTTGAGTAGACTGTGCTAAGGAAGGTCTTAACGCGCTAGAAGGTGCCGTAATGAAAGAGTCAAGCTCACCCAAAACTGCTAGAAAAGGTGTCGCGTGGTTTTAGTGCAGCAAAGCGTTGCTCAGAGCTCAGAGCTGCGTGCCCAGCTCCCGGCTGCCGCCCTCGCAGGTGCCGCTCACCACAGGTCCAGGTGCCGCGGAGCAGGGCAGGGCAGGCGGCACCGCAGCTCCCCAGCACGGCCCGGGCTGGCCGTAGGGCTGCTCCAAGGACTGCTCCATGCACCACAGGGCTGCTCCGAGCCCAGCACCACGGCACCCTCGGGCAGGCGCCCGCCCTGCTCCGGCACAGCCCAACAACAGCAGCAGGGGCCAGCGGCACCGCGGCCACCTCCACCCTGGCCCTGAGGCTCCAGCACGGCGGGCACGGAGCCGCGGGAGGCGGCGAGCGCGGGCAGAGCCAGCACCACTCCTGCCGCTGCAAGCAGCGCCGAGAGGAGCAGCACTAGGGGCCCCGCTCCTGCCTCACCCTTCTCCAGCCAGCTGCTGAAAAGAGACGTGGAGCACGGAGCCTTTGCAGCAAGAAGGGAGCACATGCAGCCTTGGAGGGACAGGCACGGGCTTGCTAAAACAGTGAGCGCACAGGGGAAAGGAAGCAAGGTGTTAGTGAAGAAGAGAGGCAGAAATGGGAGTAAACAGGAAGGTTTGTTCTTGTTAAGTTTATTGGCATCATGTTCGTCTCTTTACATAAGAGCTCAGCCTACGTACTAGAATGTAGACCTCTGGAAAACAGGTAGAAGGGCTCCATTTAAGCAAGCTACAAACGCAAGAACAAATACCAGGAAGAAAGGAGGAGAGGAAAGGGGAAAGACTGCCAAGTTTCTCCATACCAAAAAGATCCAGATTAGCAGTCAGTAAGAAGAAAGGGAAGATTCATAGTCCAGGTCATCCATTGAGAAACAGCTACCACAGCCCAGGTGGGAAAGGAGCTCCTTCCACAGCACAGAGCCACTGGAACCCCTCAGATCTGACTCCTTCTCACATTTGCTCCAGAATGTTAGGAGTTAAGCAGTGGGGGAGGTGAACAAATGAGGTCATTTCATAGCTGTATTTAATTTTTTTTTTCTTTTAACCCATTAATCCAGTGTGCATATCACTGCTGTTATGCAAATCTGAATTTAGATACAAGGAAGCTGGACAGATTTCTCCAGAAGATGAAGCCTTTTGGCTTCAAAACAAGGCTTAACACAGTTCATCTCTACTGTACAAAACACTGCCTCTCTCTGGACTTTGTGTCGCTAGCACACTGCAGTTCACAAGTGTCCTCCTCACCTTCTAGACAATCTGTGTTTCAGTACTTGAACATGTAATTCAGGAATTTTACACTAATTTATACATTTTTAATTGGTTGCATATATTAACATGTACTATAAGATTTCTCCTAAAGAAGCATTACATAATACATGGATACTGTAAAAAGATCTGATTAGTTAAAAGTAACAAGCATTAACAGAGATACATACAAAACTCAACCTAGTTGGACTGAGTGCTGAGCTTGCAATGAACTATAGGTAATCAGCCTTTCCAGTTGCAGCCTTCACAGGGGAAAAAAAAAACACAAGACAGTTAAAAATGTAATTTGTTACACAGATTACCTGTAAACAGTTTCTCTCCATTGGACACCTGGAATTAGATTCAGTTCCAAACATACATAAGAGTTTCCATTTTAAACTAAGAGAAAGGTCTGTTACCATGAAGTGTGATGTGGATGGTGCAGGGACGTGAGCTCTGAAGTGCTGGACTCACAGATGCTCATGGGAGATGGGTGGATTTTGGCAGCTGGAGATGGAAATTTTTAAATTTTTTAAACACAGAAGAGGGGCTGTGTGTTTGAAGGCCTAAGTGTGATATTTGTTTGTGAAGGACTGTGCTCAACCCCTCCCTCTCCCCTCAGCAGCTGCAGCTCTCTGCAGAAGCCTTCACTCGGTCATTCTTGTCTAGTTTGATGGGTTCGGGGAATTCATTGTAAAGCTCCACTTCGGTTTCCTAGCAGGAGAGAAGGGAAGTGTTAGCGCTCTCGCCAAAACGCACCCAGCACGCACGGCCCGCACCAGGAGGGCGCTCCTGGCCTTCCCAGGCTGTGCTGCCAAGCCCAGCAGCAGGACTGGCACCAGCAGAGGGCACCCGCTGGCCCCCCATCACCTACCTGTTTAAGTGCATTTCGTGCAATCGTCTGGAAAGCCTGTTCCACGTTAATGGCCTCCTTGGCACTGGTTTCAAAGTAGGGGATGTTGTTTTTACTGTAGCACCAGGCTTGCGCCCGTTTTGTGGTGACCTGAGCAAAGAGAGAGCAACTCAGCAGCTGCAGCAAGGGGGAAAGGCCTCACGTCCAGCCTGCTCTGACACCACCAAAGCTGCAGCCTCTACAGAGCTGCTGCTCCTCCTCTTCCCGGGAACCATGGCTCATTTTGAGGCTTGCAGGCTCGAGTTGTGATGCAGGAGGCAAAAAAGAGGCTCCCTTCCCAGAGGGCCAGCCCCTGCTAGAGCACAGAGGGGTTGCTACCATGCAGCAAGTAACTAAGCCCAGAGCAAGAAGGACCATGTGCTAGGGAGATGAGTGCTGCTCAGGCATCCGCAGAGCAAGGACTCGCTCCCACAGGAATTACTCAGCACTTCTGAAGGAGGAGACTCACTTCCTTTCCTCGATTCTACTCGAGAGCTGCTGCAATCCCTCCCTGCAGAGAGGAGTGTTGTTCTCAGGGGCCTGATCCCCTTCAGGAGGACGAGAATAGCCTGGAGAGACTAGTCAGTGCCATGCAGCAGCTGAGCCACCCTTTGACACCTCCCACTCCCATTCCTCAGAAAACCCTCACATGTCCCTACAAGGTTTCCCACTCCAATCATTACTTAAGAGCAGGCTAACAAGTCTCAGTACTCACTTGTCTGTTTTCTAGGTCAATCTTGTTTCCCAGCACAACAAAAGGAAAGTTCTCAGGATCCCTTGGACTGGCCTGAATGAGGAATTCGTCCCTCCAGCTGTCTAGGGTTTTGAATGTGTTGGGGGCTGTAACATCAAACACCAGCACACAGCAGTCTGCTCCCCTGTAGAAGGCAACTCCCAGAGACTGAAATCGTTCTTGTCCTGCTGTATCCCATATCTGCAACAATGCAAAGCAGACAGTTAAAGCACCTCTGCTCGAGCACGGTCAGACCACAGTTAGAGCATTCATTTTAAAACTCCTCACCACAGGCATCTAGAGGACCTAGCCAGGGGACAGCCAGCCTGAGGGAAGGAGTCCCTGGCAGCTTAGACATTCCTGTAGACACTAAATAGGCAGAAAAGTCCTCCTAAAGGCAGCACTAACCATTTGTGTTTTCAGCCTCAACAAGGGACGTATCCTTGTTTTGAGCAAGCAGGATTTGGGGGGTAGGGTCAGAAGGCAACCTGGTACACTGGAGCACCAGCACAGTCCACTCAGCAAGTTACAGCAGGACTTTCCTTTTGCCTTGTAGTCAATCTCATCACAGAGAGATGAAAGCTTTAGGTACTCAAGACACGTACAAATTGGTAGGCTAATGCTACACTCCCACTAGTCAGAGCAGCATGAAGAGTTGACCTATGGTGTCCCTTCTCAGTCACCAAAGAGGAATGTACATCTTTCAGCCGAGATCTAGTGAGAGTACCAAACACTGGCTTTGAAACTGGGCACAGCAAAGCTGCTCTTAGCTGAGAGCAGCCAAGTTGAACTTTGCTGTCCCTCAGTTCTGCTCACACACAGATATGGCGAGCTGTGGCCAAAACCAGTTTGGTGCAAGCAGATACTTCCACATGGTCCAGGTCTGGGCAGCCACACAACTTATCTCAGCAGAGAGCAAAGTTACTCCTTACCTGCATTGTCACTAGCCTGTCATCCACCATGACCTCTTTTGTCAGGAAGTCTGCGCCTATCGTAGCCTTGTATTGGTTACTGAATTTCTTGTTCACATACTGGTTCATGAGTGATGTCTTTCCCACCCTGCACAGAAAGACAAACAGGACTAAGTAGGCTGCTTCTCCAACGGGGTTTGAATTAGCCCTCAATAGGAACATCTCACCATTCACCTTCCACCAGAACTTCTTGACATTTCCATTAAGAGACAGGCACCCAACTCAAAGGGCTTCACTTCAACAGAAAGGAAGGATTTCTTTCAATGGATTTCACTTCAATAGTGGCTGGGGCAACAACATGAGTAAGAGCTTTAGCTGTGCAAGGGTACAAGGATTAAGCTCTTGAGAAACCCTGTTTCTCCATCAGTAATCTGAGCCTTTGTAAGGGGTGTGCAATGAAGGCAATCTTAGAAGGTAAGAACCGCAAAGAACCTAGGAGAAAGGGCTTCTTCAGCCTCTGCAGCACAAAGGGAGCTGGAGATACAGCCTCAGGCTGGCAGCAGGCCCAGGCCTGAGCTCTGCCAGGTGCCCAGAGGTAGAGATGCCCCTCAGAGCACCAGCTAGAGGGGTCGCACGTTCTCCAGAGTCAGGGAACACTCCCGGAGCAGCAGCCCGCCGGGCGCTGCAGTATAAACAGCCCCATGTCCTGGGAGTC